TGGGAACTTGCATAGTCTGAAGGGAGTGCAACAGGTTGGAGAGTGTCCTTTCCAGGTATCTCAGTTGGTTGAAACCACTTCCAGGCAGTTCACCTGGATTCTGCTTTGTCCAGGCCTCTGTCCTGGGCCTGACAATCTTCTGGGCAGCTCAGCTTCCTTCTGTCTGAAGGTTTATTACTAACCAGGTGTGGTGTTGTATACCTGCAGCTGGTGAGCTAGTTTAGGCCTTCCTTTGCCTTTCATTTGGGAAGTAGAAACAAGTGGACAATGAGTTAAAGGCCAGCCTCATTTGCATAGTAAATTTAAGGCCAGGGTATACTACATGAGGCTCTGTCTTTAAAAACTGGGAAAAGGAGCTAGGCTTGGTGATGCACACCTTTAGTCCTAGGACTCAGAGGCAGAAACAGGTGAATTTCTGAGTTTGAGGCCAGCCTTGTCTACAGAGTAAATCCTAGCAGTCAGGGCTACACAGAAAAGCCCTTTCTTGAAAAGTTGGGGGAAAAAAAAAGGAGGGGGGATAGAGAGATGGCTCTGGTTAAGAGTATTTGCTAAGCTGGGCAGTGGAGGCATACACCTTTAAACCCAGCACTCAGGAGACAGAGGCAGGTGGATCTCTGTGAGTTCATGGCCAGCCTGGTCTACAGAGCAACTTCCAGGACAGCCAGGGCTATACAGAGAAATCCTCACTCTCTCAAAAACAAAACAAACAAAACCCAAGAAAACCAACCAACCAAAGAAACAAACACTTGCTGCTCCTTCAAAGGACCAGGTTTAATTCCCAAGGCCTCATTCCTGTCTAACTCCTGTCCCGGGGTATCTAACACCCTCTTGCAGCCTCTGCCTGCACCAGGCAAAACACTCATGTACATAAAATACTATTTAAAACTATTTCTACTCATTGTCATGGAGCAGCCAGACTGCACTTTGCCCGCAGATGGTCCCTGGTGATGGGTGGTGGAAAATGAATGCACCTTTTGGAGCTTGTTGGAGCTATAAGGCCTTCCTTGGAGGACGCTGCCTCTGGTCCCATAGATAGCTCTCTGGAAAGACCTGAGTGAGCGATTTGTGAAGGCAAGACTACTGGCCCTCCAAAACCTTCGACATAGAGTTTTTCACATTAAATGCATTTCTTCCTGTCTCAAGGTAAGATCTTGGGGTCACTACTGGCCCTGTTCCCTACAAGGGACTCTACCTTCTCTATTGAGAGGGTCAGTACCTAGGCCTGGACCTCAGACATCTCCAGGTAGGACCCTCAAGTTCCCCCTGCCTGTGGTCTCTGATCTCATAGATTCATGCCATAATCCTGCTGCACACAGAGTACTTGCACTCTTGATGATGTCACTGTCACACTGCCACAGAGTTCCTACACTCTTGATATCTCTATCCCTCTAGCATCGTGTTCTTCTTACCACAGCTGCTTTGAAACTCTTTAATGGCTGTGTGGAATTCCCTGATCAACCAAGCTTTTTTTTGCTTTCATTGTGTATATGGGGTTTTCCCTGTCTGCTATGCCTTTGTTTCTTCATCCCTCTCTACCTGGCTAGCACATGCATGACCTTGATACACACACCACACACACACACACACACACACACACACACTTTCTGCTAAGTCAGGAAGCACTGCATTGCCCTGAATTTGTAGCATATTTTTATCCCACTATCAATGTGAATTCTATATCTTCATTAGACTGTGCACCCCTAGGTCACACATTGGGTCGCACCTACCTAGTGGGGGTGCCCATCAAAGGCCTCAAGGCATAGAGGCCAAAGTAGAGGAAGATACAGAGGTGGCAGGTACAGAGTAGCTAAAGACATCTTAAGTCCACCAATTCATGCAGGGCCTCTGGAATACTAGCCCAGCGTGATCACTGGGTGGGGATGATGCAGGTGCCAGCAGAATGGGCATGGTACGCTCTCCTAGCATCATTCCAGGCTGTTCCCTCCATTGCAAGTTTTTCTAGATGCTTTCTGGCCCACAGCAAGGTCACCGACAAGCCGTAATATCAGGCCATTTGTCTCTCCATCTGCCTCCTGCAATGATTCCATCAGGTGATACTGTCTACAGGGGCCATGCAGACACAATCTCACCTACTGAGATGATCACTCATGATCTGGGATGTTTCAGAGCTAGACAACTGAGTTTGACTTCCTTATTTTATGACTGAAGAAGTACATGCCTGCAGATATGGCTTTTTGGTAAACTCTGGGGGTCCTGTCCAGAGTTCTACACCATCTGTGGACCAAGGGACTCTCGTCTGCTGTGGCATGACTCAAGTGTCCCAACACTTTTTCTTTCTGTGCTCCAGGGCTGGAGTGGCAGGGATCTAGTACTATAAAGATAGTTCATGTTTATGCTTAGAGGACAATTCCTGAGGCCCAGCCCTGTAGGCATGTCTTAGCAGGGTGCATGATGGACATGGTCCACTTTCCTAGCGTCATTCCCACAGAGCCAACAGGACAAGCATTGCTGGGTTAGATGCTCATGGAGGAGCACGGATGATAGGTGAGTACCATTTACCCTAGGGAGAAGTGATGCCAAGACAGCTTCATTTCTGGAGAGTCTTGCTGGCCTGAGGTAACCCTGGGACAAAGCTGTCTGGGTATGGATGAGGCGCACAAGAGGCCATGGCTAGGGACTCAGGCTGCACCCGTGTGAAGGAGTGTGAACAAGCGGGAGGGCTAACTACGATAAACTATTGTAGCCTAAGGAAGGTAAGAGACTTAAAAGTGAGAGAAAGGAGTCAAGCCCTACGGACCTCTAGACTGAGGATACAATGTAATCTCTTTATGCCGAGAACCACATCTTATTTAGTTGCTTGCAAAAACAGCATCAAAATAATCTCCTTGCCCTCCCATGTCTTGCTGCATATCTGCTTCTGTGCAGTGCTTGTTTTTAAAAACTGAGAAAACTAAATTTTTGCTAGAAGTCTGTCATCATGTAGACTAGAAAACATGAAGCCCACAAATTAGGAGAATGGCCAAAGGTGACACTGTACATCCAGCCAATAATAGAGAGTGCCTGAGACAACAGATCCGGAGATGACCCGATGCAATACAGCTGAGTTCTCTGTCCCCCCAAGTGCAGATCGGCGGTGTCCTGGGGTCTGCTTTTCTCACAGCCTGACACTGTCGAGAGGTTGCTTAAGAAGCAAAGAACAAGGAATGAGCTGTCGAGGGAGGAGTCCACTAATCCACTAATCCAGAAGTGGCTATCATGACTGGGTGAGTAAAAAGCCTAGATTTGCTTGGAAGTCGAAGACATAATAGGTATTTTGGAAGTTCTCATCTGGCTAGAATATATCAAAGGGGAGAGAGCGCTAATCCAGAAGAAACTTCTACCTAGATGTATAGTCCTGGGAGCGGCTGCCTTCTTCCAGGAGGGGGCGCTGCAGGACAAATCTGGAACTAGTTTGACTCACTCACCCCTGGGCTCTCAGCTGCAAGCATCTGGGCCATAAAGGCTCAGCTCACCTCTTCCTCGGTGACTGCAAGTTCTTGTTCCAGAGAGATGGAAAGTTGTCAAGGATTTAGACTCTGAGAGATGGCCTCAAAGTCCCTGTGTTTTCATAAAAGTCATCCTGCCCCATGTCCACTAACCACCTGCTCCAGCACTGGGAGACTGGGAGTCATTCTCTGAGCATGAACCTCTCTAAAACCTATGTACCACTTCTGTGTCAGAAAAAAAAAATAAACAAACAAACCCACTTTTTCATCTTTGGTCTTTCTGGCCAGTTTCAACTTAGGCGGGATCTTGGCATATTAGTTAGACATACAAGGACAGCTGGAGCTGAGGTAAGCAGAATAGAAATGGGCAGTCTTGTTTAGCTTCCTGAGGGTGGGCACTATGCAGTGCCTTCATAGTTCGGGCCAGGCTGAATCCTGCTGCAGGTTAATCAATGCCTAGGTGTCTGAGAGAAGGTTCCCCAGTGTTGGTATAAGGCCAACTTAAGGAGCTAGAGTCCTGACCTAGTAACTTTGCCTCTCCGCTCCTCCTGGTCAGAGATAGTGGGCATAGATTTTGTTTTGAGACATGTTCTTGCTATGAACCCTTGGCTGAGCTGGAATTCTCTATGTAGACCAGGCTGTCCTTGAACTTGGTTTACTCTAGAGGACCAGCATAACAACAGCACTCCAACCTTACTTTACCTCACAAAAACGACGTTTGAAATCAAGGACAGCACATGGATACAGGGCCAATGATTTCTACAAGTTGGGCCAAGAGGAAGAGGAAGGCCTCCCCAGGCCTCTGTGGCAAGGAGCCCAAACAAGGAGGAAAACTGAAGAAAGACAGGCTTCACTGAGACTTCACAATCCAGCAGACTGACGAGGGAAACAAAGGGGGCAGAAACTTCCTTCTTCAAGCCCCACCCAGCTCTGACCTGTCCCTAATCTACAACAGCCAGTTAATAAGCACAGCTGGTGACTTGTCTGCTCACTCAAATAGTGCCAGTTAAACCTGTTCCAAAGGGTGGCACAGGCTCCTTCCTCCTTAAGCTCCTCCCCTGAGGGCTCTCCTGGAGCCAGGCACACCATAGTTTCCAGAACAGAACCCTGGGGCTGGAGATGGCATAGTAGTTAAAGGTTCAGTTCCCAGCACCCATTTCGTGCTCCAGGAAATCTGATGCCATCTTCTGGCGTCTTTGTGTACCTGCACTCATATGCACACACACAAACAGACACATACACATACACATAAGTAAATAATAAATTTAAAAAAATAATAAAAGAACCTTTCATGACATCCAGGCTAGGAGTCCCTGGCTCTCATCCTGTCTTCTTGGAATGGCAGGTTTGGCAGCAACCTAATAAGGAGCCTCATATCCTCTCTGCTGCAGATATTTGGGGAGCTTTTGCGATTCAGCCATAAGCTAAGCCATAAGCTCAGAGCTGCTGTGAAGCCCATGAAGAAAGGAAGGGAAACAGCAGATCTACAGCCATAAACAAGCCTTCCATTATTAAAGAAACCCAGCCCCAAACAAACGACCACACACCATGATGTCACTTTTTTTCCGACTTATTTACTGACATTTCTCAGATGTTCTACAGTTCCCCTTTGTCTCCTCTCTGCCAAGTCAGGGCCCCTCCTCCCTAAAGTTATGCATAACACAGAAACTCCTTTTCTCCTGGAAGGGCTTGCAAGGGGGCTGAAAGGGTCTGATCACATGGAAGGGTGGGGGAAGATCCCTAAGGGATGACCTGTCACCCTCTCCAGTCCTGAGATGCCCTGGTCCAAGACAGACTTCTTGCCATCTCCCCTTAGGACTCAACCAAGCTAGTTCCTTATTGGGCTTTCTCATCCTGTGAGACCACAACTCAGCCGGAAGAGCCCACAGATTGACCTTCACTGGTCCTGCTCGCTGGCAGAACCGCAAGGGGCCAGGCTACAGCCCTGTCCTGCGCACACTGCTAGCCTAAGCTATGACGGCAGGAACGTTTGCTGCCTTGCAAGTCTGAGGAGTCAATGACGGACTGACGGGCTTTTTCCTTGGCCACCTTCAGTTGGCTCCTAACCCTGGCCCAAGCTGATTTATTAAACAAAAGACACCGTGTCTCTGCTATAGCCAATCAGTTCTCAGTGCCCTCCCTGACCCCTCCGCCCCATGGGAGGGAGCTCATGTGCTGGTTCACAGGTTGTTCCGCTGAAGTGTTTCACTTAGGTTCTGGTTGGCATCCGGCTCCTCCGTCAGCATCTCCACAGTTTCCCACTCCCCAGATCGGCTGGACCTTTTAATGGCATCTACCACGCTCTGCATATACAGTCCGTCCTCAAATGAGGCAGCCATAGAGACAGGGGTGCGGTCCCAGGTACGGCGATCCCCCTGCCCCTGGAAGGACTGACGCAAGGCCTGAACCATATAGACCATACCTTTCAAGTAAAGCAATGGGACATCCTGGGGACCCAGCTCAGGGAGCCCTGCGCCCACAGCCAGCGAATCTCTCACAAGCAGCTCCTCCTGTGCCGCAGAGTTCTTCTGCCCATAGAGGTCGGCTCCCCGCGCAACAAGGCGCCCTGCCGAGCCCACTATCATGACCTCATGCACAAAGGCACCTGGCATGTTGAAGTTGAGTGTCACTGTGCTGCACACCCCCCCACCCATGAGCATCTGGAAAAAACAGAAGTCATCACTGGTGACATGCCGGATGCCACGGATGGTGGCATTCTGCCTCACAAAGGTCTTGAGGAGACCATGCACCTTCTCGGCTTTCTGGCCAGTCAAGTGAGTCAACAGGTCCACGATATAGGTACCCATGGTGTGCAGGCCCCCGCCACCCATAAGCTCATCACATACCCAGCCATAGCTGGGGCTGAGCAGGCTCCCGGAGTAGACGCGGGCGTCACAGATCATCACGGCCCCCACGTAATGCTCCGCAATCAGCTGTTTCATGCGCACGAAAGCAGGCAGGAAGCGCAGCACATTCCCCACCAGGCTCATCAGCTGTGGGTAGTAGCGAGATGCAGTCACCATCCGGAAGGCGTCCACGGATGTCGCTGCCTTCTCGCACACCACGTTCTTCCCAATTCCTAGAACAAAGGATAGTGGGAAAAGTTCAAAGTTCCTTGTGTGTGTGTGGGGGGGGGGGGGGGGGGGAAACAACATTTTTTTTGAGACAGGTTTCTCTAGGTAGCTTTGGCTATTCTAGAACTCACTCTGTAGACCAGGCTAGCCTCAAACTCAGAGATATGCCTGTCTCTGCCTCCCAGGTGCTGAGATTAAAGGTATGTGCTGCCACCACCACACAGATTTCTTTTTCAAGCCTGACAAGGTGGGATATGCCTATAATCTCAGCATTTGGGGTAGGGGTGGGGTGGAGGCAGGAAGATCTGGATTACATAACATTCGGTAAACACACACACACACACACACACACACACACACACACACACACACCTCTCCAAGGAAGATGACCTAGGAATGTCGCTTATATAAACAGTTGATCTAGAGGAGAAGGAGGAGACTTGGAACACATTGAAAAGGTCTCAGTGCCGGGCGGTGGTGGTGCGCGCCTTTAATCCCAGCACTTGGGAGGCAGAGGCAGGTGGATTTCCGAGTTCGAGGCCAGCCTGGTCTACAGAGTGAGTTCCAGGACAGTCAGGACTATACAGAGAAACCCTGTCTTGAAAAAAACAACAAAAAAAAAAGGTCTCAGTAACTCCAAGAGTAAGTCCTTCCAATAGAGTGTGGTGGGTACTGGGGATGGCCGGGACCAAGGGAGGCCTGACAGGGGAATTCCTGGGGCTAACAGAGTGGGGACAAAGGGCATGCAGAGAGTGGGTTGTTGACTTATGTCAAGACTTTAAGACAGGGAATCACTAACATCCTGGGTGCACACCAACACACAGACACAGGAAGATTACATGGTATTTAAAGTGATAATGGAAAAGTAGCCAGACAATAGACATCACTCCCTCCAAGCCAACAGGTGGAGATGCGATTCAAAATGGGGATCTGGAAATTCTTTCCTCAAATCTTCCCCATCTAAATTTCTTGGGTCAAACGTTACTGGCGGCACCTCATACACACCACTTTTCAAAAGATGTTGTGTCTGTGTGGAGTGTGCAAGTGTATATGCTTGAATGTGGAATGAGTGTGGAGCTGGTCACACAACGCACACCCACAGAGGCACAGCTGGCCTGGAACTCACTCCGTAGACAAGGCTGACTTCAAACTCCCAGAGATCCCCCTGCCCCTGCCTCCTGAGTGCTGAGATTACAGGTATGTACTGCCATATCAGGCAACCTTATTTTTTGAGACACCATTTCTCACTGGGTTTGGTTACATTGCCCAGCCAGCAAGCCTCCTCTCTCTGCCTCCCCCGTTCTACGATTTCTGACATGTGACAAGGCTCTATGCCTTGCTTTCTGTGGGTGCGGAGAACGCTGGGAATCCTCGCTCAGGTTCTCGTGGTAAGTCCTTTATTGAGCCATTTCCTCCACCCCTTATATCTAACCACTCAAGACCTGTGGACTTGGTCTTCAAGCTGCACCCAGAATCTAAGCCGTTCTGACCGCCACTTTTTTCATTCAGGTGGTCACTGTTTTGTTTTTTCTGGATTATACCAACGGTCATTTCTTAGAAGACGAGACAGGGGGCTGGAGAGATGGCTCAGTGGTTAAGAGCACTGATTGCTCTTCCAGAGGTCCTGAGTTCAATTCCCAACAACCACATGGTGGCTCACAACCATCTGTAATGGGATCTGATGCCCTCTTCTGGTGTTTCTGATCATAGCAACTGTGTACTCACATTCATAAAATAAATAAATCTTTAAAAAAAAAAAAAAAAAGACAAGACAGGAGGATCAGGAGTTCAAGGCCAGACTCAGCTATCCCCAAAGCCATTTAATTGCTCTGGCACCCTCCTGCCTTCTCACAGCACGACAGACAGTCAGGGTAGTTCTGTTTGAACTTGTTAACAGTTTGCATCCTGTCATTCTCTAAAGGCCACAAATCAAAGGTTTGGTCCCTGACACTTGGTGCTACTGGGCTAGGAAACCTTTGGACAGAAGCAAGGCCACTGGAGGTTGTGTCTTAGAACGGGCTACTGACCATTTCCCTGTTCTTTCTCTGTGCTTCCCCGCCACCAGGTAGCACACAGCTTTGCTCCTAAGCTGGATCGGGTGGCTCACACCTGCAATCATAGCAACTGGAGGTTGAAACGGGAGGGCCATGAGCTTGAGGCCAGCCAAGACTACACAGTGAGAGCCTGTTTCTAACCGACACACAGGACAGTCTTGTCCCACTACTTGCTCTTTGCCTTTCTGATCTCCCTCACAAGGGTCCAGAGAAGATATAGCTACCACCATGGCTAAATGGCTAAAACTTCAAGCAAAGCAAACCTTTCCCCTTGAACTCACAGACAGCCTCCTGCCTGCTGCCTCCCAAGTGCTGGGACTATGGTCTGACACTATTCCCTCACAAGTCCTTCCTTTCCTTTATGGATCTCAAATATTTTGTTGCAGTGATGGGAATCAAACATAAAACTTAGTATGATTTTCAGGTGAACTTCTCCCAAAAACCTTTCCAATGGATTTACATCTCAATCAGAATAAAAGTCAAAATCCTGGCCCCAGGCATGGTAATACATGCTTGTAATTCCAGCAGTTGGGAGAGTCAGAGACAGGGGGACTGCGAGTTAGAGGTCAGCCTTGACTCCACCAAAGGCCTTGTTTTTAAAAAGAATTAGGGCTGCTGAGATGGCTCAGTGGGGGTTTGGGGTAAGCGTTTGCTATGTAAGCCTGGTCACTTAATACAATTGCCAGATTCTACAGTAGAATGGACTCCAGGGAGTCTGCTGAGCCACCCACCTACCATGTACTCTGTGGAACAAGCACATCTGCAAACACACGCACACACGCACACGCACACACACACACACACACACACACACCACAAGCACACACACATTCATACACACACCCCAACACCCTATATACACATATATAATAATAATAAAATTTAAAAGTACAAACTTGCCTGGCTTATTAATTCAATTCCAGCCTGGAAATTCATAGAGATCCAGTCTTAGAATACAAAGCAAAAGAGGCTTAGCTGGGATTCAGCCCAGCTCTTGCCCAGCATGCTCTAGGGTCAATACCCAGGCACTGAAAAAACACAAAATCCTATTAGTGGTCTACTGATAGGACCTTGATTTCTGACCAGAGACCCTTCCAGATTTTTCCTTTAGCACTTTGCCCTACCATGGTCCTTCCTCTGCTCACCCTGTACTGGCTGCTCACTGGAGATGGTGCAGCTGTGTTGAAGAGCCTTGTGGTCAGAGAGAGGCAGTGATTGTTAGCATCAAAGAGCGGACAGGGAGAATCAGACACCATCATATCCAGGGAAGTCTTGAGAGGGACAACTTAAAGGTCTTGATTCTGATGGAAGACCATCTTGAACAGCATGTGCTCCTGGGCACCCAAGAGCCATCCAGACGACCCTCCTGGTTCCATAGGTGCTGCATGGTTTGAGGCAAACCATGATGTCCCTGTCCTGGGTCCTTACTGTACCCCACTGCCCTCTAGGTATGCAGATGTGCAAGGCCCCACTGTTTGCTACGTTGGTTTACGCATGCTTTCTGAGTGCCTTCGGGTGAGACAAAGAGTAGTATGCAGATGATTTCCGGTGGTTCACTACTGGGCACTGCTTGTCCTGATGGATGGATTTTGTCCACAGAATCCATGCTGCCCACAGGCTCAGTATGGTCATCTTCCTCCCAAACACTGGTTGCCACTGACTATAAATCTTGTAGAAAAAAAAGAAGGAGGAGGAGGAAGAAGAGGAGGAGGAGGAGGAGGAGGAGGAGGAAAAGAAAAGAAACTCTATACAAATGACCAATGTCTCCCATGATGGATGGCCTCCAGTCAGCCAAATAGCCAGAAAAAGTGCCAACTATTAGTGGTAAACTTGAGCACTGGGACCAGAAATTTCTGTCATCAAAACTTTTCTCACTTCACACCGAACGAATGGCAGCCCCTGTCGATGCATGTGAGTTTTGTTTGGGTTTGGCTTTTTGCCTTTTTTTTTTAATTGTAAAATGAGTCAACCCAGCTTCTAGGGAGGATGACTGACTTAACTGAGGTAGCACAGGTACAGCACCTGGCTTGACACAACTGTCAGTGGCTCACTATTTTTACCGTCATCACAGGAGAGGATGGGCCAACGCACTGTACAGCAGAAGGCCTTCCTGTAACTCACGACTTAGAGGATTCGCCAGTGCCACAGTTTCCAGGGAAATAGTTCCTGTGTTTACTATTTTGAAGTGCTTTTTTCTTCTTTTGGGGGAGCATGGGCTTGAGATAAGGTCGTATTCTGTAGGCCAGGCTATCTTCAAAGTTAATCTCCCAACCATCCTGACCCTCAAGAAGTCCACAGGACATTTATTTATAATGGAGTCTCGGGCCTGAACTCTCAGAATGCTAAATCTTTCTGCTACAGCAAGAAGCACCGTAGAACATGGTGCCACGGTGTCACGTCAGGTCAGGACACCCTCCCATCTCCTGCTCTTCTCCAGACAACTGAAGCTTCACACAGGTGCTGGCAGGATAACAGGACAATAGCTGGCTAGCTCACTATCACATGTCAGGGCAGGGAATGGTATGCCCAGGGCAGGGGCCAGGCTTTTGCATAGGGGCCCTGCAGGAGGGCTGCTATTACTCCTGCTTGTGGAGTTTCTCCAATGCTCTCCCACAGCTGCAATTTCTAGGGGCAACTGCCACTTGGCTGTTAAACACATGTGGCTGACCAGTGAGGTATAATTAGGTTCTCAGACACAAAACCCATGAGAGCCCCAGTTCTGCCCACCCAGGTGCTTCTTGTTCTACTAACTCTCTGCTCAGCTTGTGACAATCACTAAAGGTGGAAGCATGGGGAGGAACCCCCATTTTCAGCATGCCCAATAGAAGAGCTTTTGAACATGGAACCCAGGAGTCTTATTAGCATGGAAAGCAGAAATGTTAAGATGTAATCAGGCTCCTGTAAACACACTTCAACTTTCTGTTAGACTTCAGGTGTCTTGAAATACATGC